TTAGGATCTAATGTCCGTGCATCTCGGTGTGTAATCTCGTTCCTTTTACAGGGTGTGGAACATTTCCCGTTCCCTTTTATACAAACGCTTAGAGGGTTGAGACTAAATTGAGTTGTAATTTATGGCGACGAAAGGCCTTCGGTTTTATGGGTATTTCTCTGTTCTTTCTCTTCTTGGAATTGTTGTCGAAACGCAGAAGATTCTCAGTTTCACTTTTATTATTCGACGTTACATTTGCCAGACTCAAGTATCGTGATATTTTTTTGAACGAATTGCAGAATGCGGACAAATACTTCACTCGAAATCTGTAATTTCTGAGACCGAAGTAGAAAGAAAAAATAAGAAAAAAAATTAGAATGTTTGAAATTTTCAAGCTATAACTTGATTGGTTTTTCAGATTTGTTTCGTAGGGTTTTTTCTTTGTTTCGTGTATTTTTCTTTTTCTTCTCTTTGGTATTATATCTACAGAAAGTTTTTAATGTTCTTCAGAAATATCACGAAAAATTTCTTTTCCTTCATTCAATTTGTAAATTCATAAACCATTACATGTATATATTTCGTTTCTAAATAAGATTTTCAACATTCTGTCTTTTCTTTCGAACAAGTTGAATCTCGGTTTCGTTGATATTTTTTTTTTTTTTTTCTCTTCTTCGTCCAATTACTTTTCCTTCTTTTTAAAGTAAAGAAAATTCCCCGTTTCCCCTTTGATTATTTCTTTCGCGTTTGTTTCATCTGGAATACGGCTAGGATTTCCTTCAGGCGGCATATAATATTCAATATCTTAAAAGTTCTAAAAAAGCTCGCGTCTATAAGAACTTGCGTTACTCGGGTTCTCAATCTTTCAATTACAGAACAATATTTCAAGAAAACACTCCTCTCCGATCTTAAACGATCCGGCAACTGAGACGCGGCTAACAACTCGCAGGAAGTTTCTTAGTTTATTAATCTTGCACGGAATTGTTTGCTCGGTCTGTTTGTAAAGAGGGAACAGCGTTGCAACAAACCAATTTTTACCGAAGTTTCCCAGTTTTCCGTCTTGGCGTCGTAATATTTTTATCGTTTTTAACTCGATTTTATTTGTCATTCCAGCCACGCCGGAGAAATATCATTTTTACCCGGAACTTAACTGCGAGTCGAATGAATTTTTAAAAAGAATCTTAACGATAGATATTTTGCTTTCAATTTTTAGTAAAATGAAAACTGAATATGACGAATGAAATTACAATTCTATATTACGTAATTCTCTCAACATAGATTTCTCATTTTTATCTAACAACTTTATATTATCTTTTTTGTTTAGTAATTTCTTTTTATTAAACTGCATTATGGATTTTTGTGAATTTTTAAATTTTCGTTAACGATAGGAAATTGTTTCTTTCATACAGAATTCACACTCTCTTCTATAATATAATTCGTACTCTTCTTCGTATATTTTATATATTTTTGTCCAATATTTGCATTAAAATCCGCAGTCTGCTTACTACGTAATTTTATTGTAAATACACTTTCTTTTGCCAGTCGTTCTCTCGTGATATCCATCAGATTTATTCGTTCACTATGAATGGGAATTACGATCATTATCAACTTGCAACAATAATTTCACGACACTCGTAACTGCGGCAACATCGACAACCGGTGTTCGCGAAAATAGATTCTGAGGCAAGATTGAATTTCCGTCAGAAATGATTTGTTTCAGAAATTTTATGGTTCGTTAGAGAAGGATGTGTCTGGTAAGAAAAAAAGGGTGAACGTACACGTAGGTATAGGCATAAATGTATTCGAACCACTGATTTTCTCGTGCTATTTTCTGTTGCGCAAGTCACAGTAATCTATGCTACACGCGCCAATTTAATCTTGCGTGGCTGATGACAGATATACGCACCGCAAGAACTTACATTACTTGATAGCGATACTTTGGCTGAAACGTTGCAATTAATTTCTAACAGAACAGTTTGAGTCTTTTGAAGGGAAAAGATTAGCGAAAGATACGGTGGTATTATTTCACAGTTGAGAACGGGAGGGAAAAAAGAAACGAGTATAATTTTAGACATTAATCTTCCCGAGTAGCAATTAAAAAAAAAAAAAAAAACGAATACTGTCCATGGTTAAAGTAGTTTTGCAAAATATATTGCACCGACATCTTTCGATTGACTGAGAAATTAAAAAGTGAATGTGCGACTTTTTACTTAAGTATTAACTTAATATTTCTAGATGGTTAGTGATAAATGAAACATCTTTCCACTCAATAGTTTTCTTAATGTAATGTACAACCCTCTGGTTATTGAATTAGGACAATTCACAGTTTTTTAAACTTTCCTACAAGTTTTCAGTAAATTAATTATTGCCGTTCACATGTACATACATATTGTGTAATAATAATAATAATAATAAAATGTCACGCGATGGTAATACGTTATTTGGAAATGTGCGAATTTTAATTTCAAAATAACAATAATATGTTTGATTGGCGATATTTCGCGATAATTTTGTACTTTAAAATTCCCCACGAATGTCTAAAATCGCCGAATTATCAATTATAATATACCGATTGAGAATCGATCGAGAATGCAAACTGGTTAAAAAGCACGAATGATAAATTTTCGAAAAGGAACGAGAGCTCGGCTCACCGGGAGACGGCCAGGGGTCTCCTTCGTCAGAATTTTCGGAAACTGGGTCGTCGACCGAATCAATTTTTTGAGGATCATAAATTGCAACCGGTCGCTGATTGTACGTACGCACGTACGTACATACGTTTTATACTCTCGTACGTTGCAGCGTGGGGGGAAGGTACTGTAACACGGCCGAGGAGCACGGCTCGATGTTTTATGCTCGATCAGTGACCGGCCTGGTCTCGATTCGAAAAGCGAAATTGTTGGGGAGTTGGCGCCGAGAGATCGCTCGACCTCGACGTGCCCTAAGGGCCTTGCAGTGAAATTGCATGCGTAATTACTGGAGCGTGGATGATACCACGGGCTGCGTTGCATATCCGTGTTAAGTAAATTAAACGCTGCCACGCGGGCATCGTGTACTCGCGCTCGCCCGTTTACATTTGTGTGCGCACGATAGACACGGTGTTGTACAGACGACAACGAGGAACGAGTACGCGTGAACCTGTACATTATACGGAAAAGAAGAACGACGAACGAGAAGTTGAGATTGTTCAAAAATCGGCGAGCATCGATCGAAAGATGGTCGGTGCAAAAAAAAAAAAAAAAAAAGAATAGTGTTTAATCGACCTGATATAACTTTATAATTGAAGTTTATTGTATTTCAATTATCAGAGAGGAAAGAATAGTGTATAAATAAGCATTCGAATATAACGGACTCGTTCGTTGAACCGTATATCCTGAACAGTTTCTGTTCAATTTCTGATCGTCGTTTTTAGGAATGGAACAATGATCTCTTTTCAACGGTGTAGGCTGGATAAAGAGGAAGTGATCATTTCTTTTATTTTTGACTTTAATACCAAATAATTGGTAACGTCCGTGAATATCCACGCAAAGGAGATTTAAGTCGGAAGTCTCCTTTATTTCTGGTTTTAATACTCAGTAATTGGTACCATCCGCACAGGAAACTTGAATTAAAGATTTCATTTCGATATAAAATTTTTATGGAGTGGATTTTTAAAATTTTTAGTATAAAAGCAAAGAATATAAAATACAAAATTTAAAAGTGAAAAGTTGCTCAGAGAAAGAATTGGTCTCGCAAGGTTGTGTTTGACGTTATTAAAAGTTGGGAATTTAAAATTCCGTCTTTCGATAAGAACTTGCAGACATCTTCGGTTTAACGGTTCGTGAAATTCTTTCTACTCATATGTAACGAGATACCTTTTTGAAATCTTAATTGGAAAAGTGGAAAATACGAAGACACGAATTTCTCGTTAACATTTAAATTATACGTAGCTTATTTGAAATGCGAAGCATGGCTCACTTAAAATGCAAAACCCGAGCTACTCTTACATCGATCAAGAAACTATTCATTGTTGCTCCAAAATAAATAAATAACTAATTTCGTAATTAACTCTGAGAAAGTTAAAATCAACTTTAATATCCATTGTATCGCATAATTTTTATGAATACATCTATAATTATACAAAAAAAACTTAATTTAATTACGACATTGTAAATTTTAAATTCGACAATATATCAAAATATAGATCATTTCAGATAACGTCGATATCATTGTATCATGACTCTATCTTACTACTTCTAAAACAAATCATCGTCGAGAATTTCGAAAAGTCGCATTTAACCTCTTGCGCTGGAATGAAATTGCAAAAATTTTCTCAGTTTTAAGTATATTTAAATATAACGCAGGCAAAACAAATCCCAATAATTTCTATCTAAGTGATATCGTACCGACGAGTTCAAAAGGAAAGCGACGAATTATTGTATACGGTTTGGTCGCTCGTTATGGTCCGCAATTAGTTACCAGCGCAAGTGGGTCAATCTCTTAATTTCCCAAAACGACTGATTCTACAATAATTTCTCAAAAATTTGTGCACCGAGTGCAAGCTCGCGTGTCTGAAAAGCCACGAAGTGTACCTCGAGCTCTGTCACTCTTCGTCGTCGGCAGCGTACCCACGCTTGTTCGAATCGGTCACGGCATTCTGCGAATCGATCGATCAGTGCCACGAGGTGCAATTGTTCATTCAGCGGGGAATGGCACACGGTTATCCCCGTTACGCAATCTCTTACACTTTTGGCAACTAGCACCTTACTCGTGTTTATCGAAGGCCAAGCCTTCTCCAGGTGGATTTTCCGTGAACGATCGGCCCACGCACGTGCGTGAAAACCGCACTGCTCCCCCGTTTTCATCCCGTGGGGAATGCACGCGTTCACCAGGCACTGTACAGAACGTCGTGTGTATGTACATACGTACGCGTGCATTAGCGACCAGTCAGCGTTTTGATCTCCCACCAGTTTCTATTGTGGCGAACGCAACCGGGGACCAGGCCGGCAACAAGCCATCTTGGTAGCAGCCAGTCGTTGCCTAGACATCGAGGACGTCGCGAGTGTTCTCTCCGCGATCGCGAGTACGTGCTGGTGCTTTCTCACTTCGTACGTTTCGAGCCTGTTCTTCGAACGAAGGTGATGCCTTTGGTCTGTGCATAGTGATCTTACGCTACGATCGAGTAACAGAGTGATCCGACTGAATGCTCAGAGCCTTCTCGGTTACTTCGAGGACATGAAACTGCGACCACGGGATGCCACCTTACTGGTAAATTATTATCTTACATTGTTCAGTGGATGGACATGTACACATGTGTATATATTATATATCGATAGGTATATAGCAGATCGTTTCTTCTTGGTTCGAAAGTTTCGCTCGAGAAGTACGAGGATTTGAGCTAGGAGCTGCTGCTTTGCAGGATGAATTAACAAGTAGTTATCGTGTTATTTTGTTGAGAGTCGAGTCGCTGTGGGATTTTTATTTGGGATAAAAGATGTTTGGAGGTTACAGAATTAGATTGTTGTTTTCTTTTTTTTTTTTTTTTAGGAGAAAGATCGGAATATTGGTATTTTTGAAGATTATTATTTTAGATTATTATTATTATTTAGTTTCATTACTTATTTATTGGTTCTACGTCGGTTTTTTTGACACCTCTAATTTTATTCCTACGTTTCGAGTCGTGCCCTTCATTCTAAATTATTCATGCTGGCAACGACGAATATTCTAGCAATTCTGTCATATATAACTCTTAGAATATTCCAATTTTTAACCAGCTTCAACTTCATATATTTCGAAAAATTGAAAATTAGCAATATCGACGAATAAATTTCAAACAAATCGGCTTTCAAATTCTTTCGAATGTAAAAACTAACGAAAAGGAATTTAGTAAGAATAAATAATTAAAATATAAACAGTTCGTAGATAATCATTTCCTTCGACCACAACAACCATTCAGAGACTTTTACTATCTCACGCTTCAAAAATCGGCAATACGATATACCTGTTCGATCGAATTAAAAATTTTCGCAGTTACGGATTCAAGGCATCGACGTAAAATAATCATAAACTAATTCCTTGCTTCAATATCGTACGTGCTTACTAATTTCACACTCGCTGTTAATGGTATTAACTTCAAGCCCGATAGCACAAACATCGTTCCAGCTCTCAACAAAAATACGCCTCTGGCTGCTTCGATACGTTAAAGATCGTCGAACGGAATTCCCACGGAGTTCGTGCGTGAAATATTTCCGGCCGCGTCCGCAGCAATTATTCGGGAAGCGCGCGGGGGTGAAACGTAGCGCAGCCCCATCCGCGATGCAACAGGTGCAAGGCTGCATTTGAATAATTGGAACGAACGGGCGAATGGTCGCGTCGGAAGGGGAATCTCGGATGGGATCGATCGAAATGTGAAAATCAACGTTCTTTGACCATTTTGGACCTGCATAAGCATTTACACATATATGACTTGAGCATTTTTTGATGCAACGAGGTATTTCAATTAAGTGAAATGTTGGTATCAGTTTTTCGGTTATTTTAGCAAATTATTTCACTGATCGAGGAATTCTTTATATAATAGAATCGATGTACTGTTAATAATTGTATTTAGACGTAGAAATTTTTAATTTTTACAAAGAAGTGCGAGTTATAAACTTATAAAGTTGTTGTCAAAAGCTTATCCTCTTGCATTCTGCGGTTATAAAACAGGATATACAAATAGCGTTTCTCCAATTATTATAATTCTAATCTAATATTGATAATAAAGGTAAAAATTTAATGATGATAATAAAAATATTTAATGATAATAAAGATAAAAATTATTTCGCATGGAAATTGGACATTTCTTGACAATTTCATATAATTACATGACGCAGTCCAACGTTTGTGAAATTTTATAAATTGCAAGACATGAATGATTGCTGTTGATAAATTATTGGACAAGAGGATTCAGGCCTGAATAACCTGAAGTTATCTCGTGGAATTGCACTTTCTTCCCTTGTCCGTGAAAAGTTAATTTAGAGGAATCCAGGCTGCGTTCTTCTTGTTGAGAAACGATGCAACTTGTTCTGACCGATTTGGAATTTGTTCTCTGGCCCGGTTTCCATGACTTTCAGTCGGTCGATCGATACGTTTCTGAATGGAACGGATCCATCATTTTTCTGCGCACGATATGATGGATATAATGCGAGCAACGGGCTGACAGCTTTGATTTAGAGAGCAGTCTTTTCCTCTCTCTCTCTCTCTCTCTCTTTCTCTCTCGTGTCATGTTTTTTTTATCAAATTGCCCGGGGAAGGTCGATCACTTTGAAGAAAATCTTTGAACGATTTTGATTTCTTTTTGATAGAATTTTTATCATCGTATTTAGTAATCTTTATGTGAAATATATTAATTCATATTATGTAGAATATTTTAATTCAGGGGAAAATTAGAAAAAATTAAGAAAGTCTTCCGACATATTTTTCAAAATTTTGTTTCAAAGCTTCCAACTCTTGCCATATGTATATTAAATAGTAAAATGTGTAGTTTCGGACTACAATTTTGAAATACTGTAATCTTAAAATATTTTTCGTTTCGAATTTTCCCCACGTGCATTAAAAACTCGAACATTCGAACGTTTAAATAGACTGTGAATTTTCATGTTACTTACATGAAATCCAAAGAAAATGCAAAAATTTTTATACTGTTTTATTTAAAATCGTATGAAACGTAGCGCGACATCGATGCACTGAAACAAAATTCCCTTCCATTTTTCAAATCACTCCATCATAATTAATTCACATAAACGTCCGCTGAGATTTATTTCCAAGCTTTCACCTCTTGTCAAATTTTGCACGCACATATATGCTCACTTACGTATCGCAGCTTCAACTTACGCTCCAAAAAAAANAAAAAAAAAAAAAAAAAAAAAGAAAAAAGGAAAATAAAGAAAAAAATACGTCATATCGCACCGTAAAAGGGCTACGAAATCAGCGAAATCGTTTCGAAACGCAAGTTCCCATTGTGTCAAACCCTCGGAGCCGAAACTCGACGATCCCGGCAATCACGAAACGGTTCACGATTCGATGACACTCCGCCACGATTGTTCCGTTCCTTGACTTTCACCCGCGCGTGTGTACGTCGTCGATCAGCAACCGTGACTCGTCGAAAAACACATACTCGTCGAACAGAGTATTATTCGTTCCTCGTTTTCCACGAGGGTTCCGCCTCGAAGTTTCGTTGTGTCAGGTTTTCTGCAACGTCGTTGAAAAACGGAAAGGAAGCGTGCCGTCACGAGCACCCGTCGATCGATCATCGATCAGGCAACCGTGCTACTCGTTGAATCCCGATGATCGAGCCAACCTCGCTCCGCGCCGAGTCGAATACAGAAGGGGACTAGTGCTCGGTTGACGTCGAGTTCTGTCCCTGGCAGCAGCGACAACAATTACAGCCGCGTTTGAAAGATCAATCACTGATGCTGAGTCCCGTAATGGATAATGAATATTGATGTTGGTTTCGCGTCGGTGGCGAGGTTACGCGCACAGTTGGTCACGAAAATTTAGATATACATTCCCGTTCGTCTTAAGGGATAATTGTTTTTACATATAATACGTAGCATTCGTTGTTTACGATGGAACTTTCCAATTGCATTTTGTAATATAATCGTTCATACTTTCTTTGTGGAATTATCTGACTTTTTTGATAGTTTTTGAAAAATACATGGTACTTGTACTGAGACTTTTTTTTTTATCAAGGAAAAAGATTTTTTTTAAAATTAAAATTTATTAAATTTAATAGTTCTTCCAATTAAATATTAATTTAAATTTCGTATTAAATACAAAAGTAAATTAATATAAAATTCTATAGAGTCTTATCGTCCCATAAAAAATTTTAACATTTTTGTTAAAATTTTAGATTCATGATTTATATATGGGACAGTATATATTTCATCAATCCTTTTATTCCAGATTTCATTTAAAAGTCAATTGATTATGCTACCTTTGTACAGTCAGTTATACTGCAGCCATTAAATTATTTGAGCAGATTGACTTTTTTTTCTATCAAGAGCGTATATCTGTCGGATTTCAAATGCATAAAGTAAGGATTTGAAGTATTTCAGACAGATAATAAGTTTATTTAGTAATTCAGGTTACACAGATTCTGGAAAAATGACGATGTTTCTCGTATTTGTTTACTGGAAAGGATGGAAAGGTCAGGAAAATATGATGCTACATGATATTAAAATATAAAAAATGGTTTGTTATTATTGGAATCAGAATAAGTTTTATCGTACTTTCGATCTATTTACTTTCAAATCTAAAATATTAGGTTTCGTGAAAAATTTGACAAAAAAAAAAAAAATGGAATGAATAAATAAACTATGGTCATCTTTTTCATTAATTCATGCTTCTTACGTGTACAATTAAAGAACTGGGGCATTCAAATTTTAAATCCAAAGGTTAATATCTTTAGTTAATGAATGACCGTGCTCGGAAGATCCAGGTCAGCTTTCTAATAATAAGAAAATGTTAATAAAAGTCGGCTCGGTGCAAGAGCAAATTTAATTACCGAGAAACGAGTCCTCCAAGGTTAATAATACGTAGCGGGACGATGGTGAAGAATGGTGTCTGCGCAAACATAAATCCTGAATCGCCATTTTCGAAGTTTTAATTCACGTTTTGGGCGTGATCACCGAGAGGCGATCGACTGCGAAAGAAAACCCGTTTCTACTTCGATCGGCCATTATTCGGTTCCAATCCGTCGTGATTGTTACTTTCGAACGAGCCACGAATCTTTTCACGTGTCATCGCCGCCGCCTCGTTCGCCACCGACCGATTTAAATTGACGCGGATTGTCATCGAGCGCGCGTTTCGATCGATTCTTACGATACGTACACAGCTCCGATCGTTCGTACGCGGCGTTTAAATTTCGAAATTTCCGCGTGACGCGTTTAATTCATTAGCGATATACTCGTATCAATCGTGTCTCATTGCTTTTGCTTCCTGCAACACTAATTATGAACGAACTACGTTTCAATCATTTATTTAATTTAATACCACGCACGATCGAGAACAATTTTATCATAAAGTCTGCACAAAATGAAAACTCATAGTCAAAGTCTTAGGACTGTGGATACTTTATTCAATGATTTGCAAAGATGACTTGTTGAAATTTCAACGTTAATTCAGAATACTGTACATAATTTTGTCAATTTAAAATTTGAATTGATGTTTCGTAGTAAGAAATTCACAATTCACTTTCCCTTTCCATAAATAAACCGTGTCTTTCACCG